GTCCATACGTGAAAATAAATTAAGTGCATCAGTTTAATGCTTAAAAACAGTTGAATTCAGAAAAGCAATTACAATAACAAGGCATATAAGAATGGCACACACATATTTTCAGTTCCTAGAAATTGAACACCATGCTGCGCCTGGCACCAATCAACATCAGAGCTACCCGTATTTAAAGATATGATTCGTTGTGGCCAGCTCGCTCAGCCAGCGCGTCCACGTCGCTGTTATTTCGTGGCCGTTCGATCGGCCGCGCGGACGGTCCAGATCGGGCGAGCCGCGGTCGTTTTACGAAAAACCCCTTTCAGTTTTCGGAAATCAACCTGCGCTCCAGACGTCCTCTCATATTTTTTTACAAAAAACGCCTCATGTTATTTCCAAATCGACGCGCAGTCCAGAACGGATGCGCACTGGTTTGTTTGCAAAAAAGACCTCCACTTTATCGAAATTCAACCCGCGCTCCATAGACACTCCCATCATTTTTTGCGAAAACATCCTCTGATTTTTCTCAAATCAAAAAACAGTCCACCTTTCATTATTTCTTTTCTTTTCTCCAAAATAATATGTGGGGCCCGTGCACCGCGCGCATGGGCGCGCCTGAAGGACTAGTATTAACACTCCTCGTGGCCACAATTGATCTCCAGCAGTTCATTCAGAACGGAAGAGCCATGTTGGATTCAGAGGCCTGCCCTTTGGTACCTGAAGGTACTCCTCTAATATGCCTGCCGCAAACGGTGCAACTGTACCATCTCTCATATTGTACACAAACTTAACAAAAACAGGTGCACAATTATCATAGGCAGAGAACTGACCATCAATGAAATAGATAAGATCTTCTTCAACTCCGTCATACTGACACACACGAAAAGTCCTGCTGCTGCATGGGCTGATGAAGATGCAGTCGCCATTCAAGCTGTTGATCTCGGTGAATCTGACTGGATTTTGGTGCTCAAGTTCACTTCAAGTACTCTAACCTCACGAATGTGTTCCAAACATTCAGAACCACCAAAGTATGTTAGAATCAGCAATAATTTTCTATGCCACTCTGCTATCTTCCACCTGCGTATACAGGTACCACGGATCTTAGGTAGTTCCTCGGTCAAACAACGCTCAACACGAGAAACCATCAGGCCCCTGTCACCATCTTCAGAGATTTCAATGGAAAAAAGTTCAAAAGCGAGCTTGTTGAACATGTAGAGCTTCCCCTGGTAGAAGGCAATATCGCTGGACCCAGTGATGCAGCCGCCAAGGCACACACACCACGACGACATCCCAGGCGTCCATAGCGCAAGCATAGGTACGTTCATCGTGGAGAGGGCAGCCACAACACACATGGAGCTAGAGTCAGGTGAAGAGGATAAGACCACCTTATGGAACGACATCGCACACTGCGGGCCGTGGACTATACACAGCATCTGACCAGAGCCATTGATGACAGGGAGAGAGAGAGAGATCTCTTGCAGGCATCAACTGAGTTGGTGAGAGATCTGATGTAGGCAGCGAAAGAATTAGAGCCATTGGTGACAGCGAAACATCTGCTGTGGCCATCAGCAGAATTAGACAAGGCAGCAACAGAGTTGGAGTCTGGCTCTGGCGAAGGAGGTCGGAGATGGATGACATCCCGGGAGAAAGCTTTCATCAAGAAGCACGGGCCGTCACCAGATAAAAGACCTTGGTAGGGCTGCGAGACAATTGCAAAAATAGAACTCGAAACAGTGGTCGTTTGCAGATTTGACACTGGACCTATATTCATAAACACAGATGGACTCATTTATCATTCACCTGAGTGTCCACGTGATCATAGAGTCAATCTTTGGAGCTGCACTCCGACGAGCCATCCCTGGAACGAGCCCACGCAGCGGACAACTCCTTGCCCCACGCCTTCCAAGGGAAGAGGGATGCGACGCATGCCCGTCATGGCCCCATCGGAGCAGAAGCTGGAGAAATCGAAGTCGTGGAGCACAAGCAGGGGCAGCGGCGGCGGCGGCGGCCGGTGGAGGCGTACCGTGGCGAGCCACGCGCGGCAGACGGCGCGCATCCTGGCGCGGTCCTCCGCGCAGGCGAGGCGGCCGGCCACGACGCCGAGGATGTCGGACGGGAGGTCCGCCCACGACCGGTGCAGCAGCTTGAGCCCCGCGTCGAACCTTGGCGGCTCGGGGGGCAGGGTACATATCGTCGAACACCTTGCCTGCTTAGCCGCCACCGACGACCGTTGCCCCTGTTCGCTGGCCTGAAAGCTATGGCTGAAAATACCGTGGCTGAAAGTACTGTTGGCTGATTTGTTGTGAGAAAAAAATATTGTACGACTTATAAGCCAAGCGATCAGGGCGCGTGGAGGTGGAGGCATAGCCCCATGGGTGTGAGGGGCGCAAACAGGCAGAGAAGGGTGCTGAGTCTGTTTGCCGGAGCCACCTGCGCCAGAGTTCATGGCCGTCGGAGGCTGCGGCAACGCCGGAGCTTCTCGCATCTCGCCTCAGCCCTCGGGGAGAAGAGCCGCCCGGCTGCCGACTTGAGAAAAATCCCCAATCGACCTGTTCGTTGGTTGGTTTCTGGGCTGATAAGTCTGGCTGGTGCTGATTTGTTGTGAGAGAAAAACATTGTTGGCTGCCTGATAAGCCCTGGTTGAAACCAACAAGCGAACAGGCTGAATAACTATAGAAATTTTTATTACTCCTGTTTGAACAGAAATTTTCCTAATATATGACACGCAAGGTCCCAAATGGTAATGGCCATTCGGTCACTGCCTCGTGGGCCAGCAATCTCCGTTTGAACAAACACATAGAGGAATATATAAACATGCTAGTAACAGTTTTAGTGAGTATTTTCACAAAGACAGAAACCATGTGTTAACACTGCTCACATGTTACAACAATAAGTAACCATGTGTTTACATAAGGTAGCAGGGTTTTAACATTGAGATTCAGTTTAAGACCAATTAATTAGACTAGTATTTCTATCATTGTAAAGAGTGGCCTGGGCGTTTGGGTTACCCGAATTTTTCGGGTCGGGTAATTCAAAATTCGTGTAGTAAAAATTGCTACCCAATATTAGTCCCGAAAAAACACTACCTGTAATTTTGGGTACCCGATAATTCCGGTTCGGGTATTTCCGATATACCCGAATTTACAGAAAACAACAAACTACATAAAATTTCAGTAGTAATTTATATATAATTTCAGCAACAATTTGTATATAATTTCAATAGCATTTTGCAAAGAATAATGTATTACAGTCACTTGTTCAAAAGAGATAATTATATTCTAATAAAGTGATAAGTTCAAGTGTTCAACTAAAAACACATGATAAATACAAAGACATAGACAAATGTTTGGGTACTTCGGGTAGTTTGGGTACCGAGGGATATTACACGAATTACCCAAACTAATTTCGGGTAATCAAAATCGCTATCTGAATTTGGAATCGGGTAATTCGGGTACGGGTAATAGGTATCATGTATTTTGCCCAGGCTTAATAAAGAGTCAGGGAAGCTTTAGGAGGGGCTTGCAAAGTGGAGGTATTTAGAGCATCTCTAGCAGTAGGAGAAAACTTCAATCCCAAAAACTAGTTATTGGGTGAGATACAAAACGTGTTTTGGAATTTTGAAGGTCTTCTCTCTAACAGAACGAGAAAATCCAATCCCTAATGAAAAAATAGTGTATTGGGGGAGAAGATGTCTCCCCTTTATTTGAGGGGTGAGACCGTGGGAGTCTATGATTTGAGGGACTCAGAAAAAAAATCTTATTGGGGGTGGGTTTGGGAAACTGTTGGAGCTACAAGATCTTCAAAATAACAGTTTTTTCTCATTGGGGGTTACGAAAGAGGGATGCTCTAATGACCTTTTACGTGAAGGATCTTCTCATACTTCCTCTATCTTGTAAAATAGTGCATTTTGTCGCTCTGTATAGTGCATTCTGAAGATTTTGTGATAAATTAAAAGAGCATGCAAAAGATGTATATGTCCTCTTTTATTTTTTAATCACACGTTATCATCAACATGATTAATGATGGTTGGTTGATAAATGGCAAATAGCAATATAACACCTACCAAATTTATGCTTCTATTTAATCCAATTATTTTATATCCCCTAGAATCTCTTATATTTGAGTATAAGTTTTAAAGTCTTGTATAAGGGAGTAAGTGATAGATTGAGTTATCCATTATGCTATGGGGTTGGCTGTTTCAATAATAAGCTTATAACTTTCTAATTTCTAGTTGAGTTGATATGGTAGAGTTTTTGGTTAGGGGAGGTGTGCAAGTCAGGTGTTCTTCGCTTTAAACTCGCTTGACTCTTATGTTTTCAATAGAAGCAAGAACAAATGGTCTTTGATCTAAGAAAAGTTTAAAGAGTCAATAAATTAACAATAATCCACAGTGAATACATATTGATTTTATCATATTATAATAAGGGCATTAAACCTGGAGTATATTTCTATCTATGTCTTAAAAATTAAAAACACTACAGTGTATCTTGAAGAATGCATTTGACAATGCATATGTGCTAGTTTCTCGTAATCCATATCAGGCTCCGAAATTCCCAAATGTACCAGTACGTGACCAGGTAAAAGTTGCCATGCATGCCAAGAAACAATAACATGCCTCGCGTTTATTCAAAATATCTTCTTTGGATTACCGTCAAAACAACTTTAAAGGATAGGATTCCACGAACAGTCCAGAAATACCAAAGCACACTAAACCATGAATTGCAAGAAATATTGGTATAAAGGAACATCAGCATAATAGTGTCCAGCAAATCTGAAACCGATGCTCATCTAGATATAGGAACTAGTATGACTCCCCCCCCACAAGGCACAAGTGCAAATGCACTAAAAATCTGGAACTTGAAAACAAAATAAGTGCACATAAGTTTACTGCCAAAAAAAAATCACCAGAAGGCCATATGAAACAACAGAAAACTTGTCTCAGCTCTGAGAAATAAAACATCATGGCCCCTGGCCCCAAGTGGCATAGGATCGGGCTAACAGAGTTGATCTCCAGAAGTTCATTCAGGAGGAAATAACAATGTTGAATTCATCACTTTACCATCTACTTCCCCAAGTTTGTCCTCTGGTATGTCTGCAGCAAATGGTGCCATAGTACCATCTTTCATGTTGTACACAAATCGGTGGAGGTGACCCAACAAAAAGATATAGATAAGATCACCTTCACCTCCACCTTCACCATAATGACACGGACGGAATGACTTGCTGCTGCATGGGCTGATGAAGATGCAGTCGCCATCCAAGCTCTCAATCTCAGTTAATCTTACAGGGATTGTGCTCAAGTCTGCCTCAAATACTCTAACCTCAACAAAGCTTTCCCCAAATTCATCATTGCGATGGCATATCTCAACAATTAATAGTTTTCCACGCCACTCTAGTATGCACCAAATGTTCTTACGAAGGCTATCACTGACCTCTGGCATTTCAATTGCACAACATTCGACATGAGAAACCATCAAGCCACTGTTGTCATCAGCGATCTCAAAGACCAAGAGTGTCTTCTGACAAAATGCTGTAAAATAGGTGTCCACCAATAAAGGACCATCACTTCCAACAAATAATTGTCCCTTTATTTACCTAGAAGAGTTTTAAGCGTTCGGTGGACTCAAGAGTCAAGAACCAAACATGCCGACACCGACACCGACACCTATGTCAGCATGGATAGCACCACGAGCCGTGCCACTGCAACTATCTCTCTATGTGCATCAGTTGGGCCAGGCGCTTCCGTACTGGGCCCCAAGCCCGGAACCACATTCATTCATTTCCTTTCGGTGAGATGAATTGAAAGGCCAGCCATGCTCGCCAGCCACCCAGCAAGCCCAGCTGGGCCGGCGACTACAACTGCCGGCAGTTCTTGTTGTGGTGTCCCGCTCGCGCAACAGGTGCCGCGCCCGCAGGCCAGCTGGAAACCGGGAGATCCAGTACACGTCCGGACGCCACGCAGGCCAACCCACTGACCTTGTACTTGCACTTTCGTACGCCGGCTGCTGTAGTCATGACGCACACAGGCCCGGTCCTGTTAATTTATAGACCGAAGCCGGGAAGATGGGTCCTTCATTATAATTATAATAATATGCATAAAAATTCTATCCTTTTGTCAACACGAGTACACTGGAAATTTAGAAATACTAGATTCAGTTTAACATTAAAATAAAAATGAGTATTAGTAAATTACCAAGTATTTTTTTTACGAGAGACAAGTGGAGAACAGGGATAATAATTATTCACTGCCCTGCACCGTTAGGAATTCCCCAATCCCAAATTAGATCTGAGTCTTATATTCTGAAGAATAACGACAGGGGCAAAGACAATTAGGCAAATTAAACATTGATTAAATAATCAACAAAGGGGCTTAGGGGACAGGGGCAATTGGGCACGACCCTTTGGATATAAAGACGTCTGGACGCAAGGACGTCTCATATAGTCGTAGTGTCGTACTCGCTTGGCTGGGAACGGAGTTATGGAGCGAGCAAGCGGAGTAGCCGGTGCGCACGAGCGATCGGCGATGGTGACGCCGGACGGCAGACGCGAAGGCGCGCCACGATAAAACCACGAAGGAGAGCGGCCGCGACGGAAGGGAAATCGACGGACTCTTTCTTACGCGCTTGGTATTACCTATGGGCCATATATATTTCCTATTGGACCAGAGTATTGCCAACTAGCTTACATACTTGAGATTGGGCCCCTAGGCTTCAAGGGCCCTGTGCGTGGGCACAGCTCAAACCCCCCCCCCCCCCGGGCGGGGCCTGGACACACGCACTGTTCTGTTCATCACGCTCATTCAATTCGAGTACCCGTGCTTGCCTAGGCCGTGCTTGCACAACATTCGACATGAGAAACCCGTGGTTGCCCATGCCACGACCTCCGTCCGCCCCATGCTTGCCTAGGCCGCGGGCCCGGCCCCGAAGATGGCCGCACCCACCATGGACGGCTCCGACGAGGACGCAGGGCTGTGCCGCCACCCCGCTTGAACACCCCCGGTGTAAGGGTCGAGATGGCGGACTAGAGGGGGGTGAATAGTCTTTTCTAAAATTAATCGCGTCAGCTAACCGATATAAATGCGGAATTAAAACAATCGGTCTAGCCAAGACTACACCCCTTTATATATGTTCACTAGCACCTTGCCAAGATACTAATAAAGCAACTAAGGTGCCGGGCTAGCTAGAGCTCTCCTAAACAATTCTAGGAGCAAGGTCACACAAACCTATACCACTAGTACTTTAAGTAACAAGGGAGCTCCTACACATGCTAGTAAGTAAAAGCACAAAGCTAACTAAGCTCACTAGCAATGCTCAATATCAAGGCAACCAACGCCTAATTAGAGAGCGCAAATACTTAGCTACACAAACTAAGCAATGTGACTAACAAGGTTACTAAAACCAAATTAGCCACGCAAGGGAGCTACTTCTATGCTACACAAGCAAGAATGTAACTAGTAAGTTACACAAGCTAACTAATTACAAGAGCAACTACACAAGCTTAAGATATATAAAAGTAATTTCAAGCTTGTGTAATGGGGATGCAAACCAACGGGAAGAACAAGGTTGACACGATGATTTTTCTCCCGAGGTTCACGTGTTTGCCAACACGCTAGTTCCCGTTGTGTCGACCGCTCACTTGGTGGTTCGGCGGCTAATTAGCATCACCCGCTAAGCCCACACGTCGGGCGCCGCAAGAACCTACCCCTTGAGTGAGGGTAGCTCAATGACACGCTTTACTAAAGTTGCTCTTCATGACTCCCAGGGCGAGCACAAGTACCCCTCACAAGCACTTCTCCGAGCACCGCACAAGCTTCTTGCGCGCTTCGACGGAGACCACCACCAAGCCGTCTAGGAGGTGGCAACCTCCAAGAGTAATAAGCACCACCGGCTTGCAACACGACCACCTAGTGCCACTCGATGCAACCTCACGATGCAATCGCACTAGAATCGCTCACTCACACAATCGAATGATCACTATCAAGTATATGTGTGATGGAGGGCTCCCAAGCACACACAAGCATGGACACTAAGTCCCTTGAGGTGCTCAACACCAGCCATGGCCGAGGGCCACTTCTATTTATAGCCCAAAGGGCTAAACTAGCCGTTACCCCTTCACTGGACAACGGTCGGGCTGACCGGACGCTCCGGTCGTGTTGACCGGACGCCGACTCGACCTCGGTCCGTCCGCCCGCAGACGACCACGTGTCCCGGTTCCAACGGTCACTTGACTTGACCAGACGCAGCGGAGCTCAAGCGGCCGGACGCTGAACCCCAGCCGTCCGGTCGTTTCAAGATAGGCCCGACCTCGACCGGACGCGTCCGGTCACACTCCACTTTCTTTCTGATATGTCACCGACCGGATGCAGCACCGCCAACGTCCGGTGCATTCAGATCCAAATATCCGGTCACCGACGCCAACATCTTCAGCGACTAACTTCGTTTTCACTTCTAACTTCATCACCCTTGCTCCAATGTGCTAACCACAAGAACTTGCATCCGGCGCAATATAAAATAGGCATTCTATATTTCCGAAAGCGCCGAATCCCGACCCAAACCCATCTCACCCCTGCAAACACCACCTCCTTTGTAAATGTGCCAACACCACCAAGTGTGCACCACCATGTGTATGTGTGTTAGCATTTTCACAATCATTTCCCAAAGGATGTTAGCCACTCAACTTGCCACGCCACTCGATCCTAGCGACAATGCAAAGTTAGATCACTCGAGTGGCACTAGATGACCGATATGCAAACAAGTTTGCCCCTCTTGATAGTACGGCCATCTATCCTAAACCCGGTCATAAACTTCTCTACACACCTATGACCGGTGAAATGAAATGCCCTAGGTTATACCTTTGCCTTGCGCATTCCATTCCATCTCCTTCAATGTTGATGCAACACATGCACCAACACGATCAACAATGATATGATCCACTTCATATCATCACATGATCATATTGGTTCATCGATCTTGACTCTACTTGCTCTTCACCATTGCTATCGTCCATCGGCGCCAAGTCTTGCTCAAGCTTCACCGCCACGCGGTCCATCACTCCAAAGCCTTTGACTTGCCCTTCACGCTTGCAACCGGTCCATCAAGCCAAGTCTTGTCTTGATCTTCTCCACCTTGATCACATGACTCAATGTCATGTCTCATGTGCAATAAGCTCCTTTCATCATCACATGTGTGAGCTTTGCAACATCTCCAAGCCATTTTCACCTCCATGGCATATGTTGCTCATACACATGTACATGTGGACTAATCACCTGTGTATCTCACATAAACACAATTAGTCCACCTAGGTTGTCACTCAATTACCAAAACCAACAAGGACCTTTCAACCGGCCGCCAGTGCCGGCGAGCAGGCAAGAGGCGCGGACCCGTCTCGCCGCAGCCTGAAAAAAAGACAGGGAGCCAGGAAGAAGAAAGAGGCAGGGGTAGTTTGGACAGTTCAGCACTCTTCTCTCTCCTCTAAACCCGAAAATAAATTTTTTATTGGGTCCGATGTTCATCAGTAAATTTAACGAGAAACAGAGTGTCTATCAGCAAACTGCTCCATTTTACATGTTCGGCAGCAAATGGAGATCACTTTCAGTGTCCCGTAGCCAATTTTGCTTTTTTATATTTACTGCAGAGCCTGCAGCCAGAAACGCTCTCTGTTCAGTCTGTAATTATTACCAAGGCATGGATCTAGCCTTGTACACGATGTAATTATAGTAGGTCTCACCTTAATTGTGGCTGTAATTATCCGCCTGTACAGTTGGCTTGCATGCCACCCCGGCTGCTAATACAACATATATATATATATATGGAATACAATCAATCATTCCAATCACTCTCACAAGGTTGAGAAAATGGAATATATGACAACATTGCTTTGCCAAGTAAACGATATATACCTGTATATGTACAAAAGCAGTGTCATGCTGGTCCAAGTCCAAAGTACAAGCGACGGATTGAATTTAGAACTCCAACTATCACAATCAGTTCTTTTCATATGTGACCAGTCGTGACATATGCGTAGTATACATGGATAAGGTACGTTGTGCCAAAGCAAAAGCAGAGCTCAGAAAAAAAAAACAAAAGAGAAGAGCTTGTAGCCCTTTTTTCTCCCGATATAAAGAAGAGAGAGCCTGTAGCTAGAGACGCAGCCTGCTCGACCTGCATTTGTGTGTTGCGTCCAAAAAGCAACACAGGTCAGGCTTGAGAGAAGCTGCTTAGCTAACCAATAGTTCAATACCCATGGCAGCAATGGAGACAGAAGCGAGAGGCGGCATGGATACCGCTTTGTACAAGGCCGCGACGCAAGGGAACGTGGGGAGCCTGAGGAAGCTGGTGGAGAAAGACGTCAAGATCCTCAACTCCAAGACGCCGCAGTACAACACGGCGCTCCACCTGGCCGCCTTGCACGGCCACGCCGAGTTCGCCCGCGAGGTCCTCGCCGTGAGCGAGGAGCTGATCGTCGCCAGGAACGCCGACGGCGACACCGCGCTGCACCTAGCCGCCAAGACGGGCAGGCTGAAGGTGGCGGAGCTGCTCGTCGGCCTCGCGCGGGCCTGGCCGGACGAGCCCCCTGATAATAATGACCAACAGGGAGGGCAACAACCCGCTGCACGAGGCGGTGCTGCACCGCAAGACCGCCGTGGCGCTGGCGCTGCTGGACGCCGACTGCAGCCGCGCCTACGACCTCAACGAGAAGATGGAGTCCCCGCTGCACATGGCCGCCCGCGAGGGCCTCATCCATGTCGTCCGCAAGGTATTCGATTTCGCCTGGGTCGAGCCGGCGGAGTACCTGCCATCTGCCGCCGTCAGCGGCACGGCTCTGCACCAGGCCGTGCTCGGCGGACACACCAGTACGTAACGTGGGCTAACACTATTATTATAGGTAATTGGTTCGTTTTCAAGCACATGAATGAAAATAGACGTGCGATTCCATGGGATGCATTGTAGAGGTTGTGGAGATCATCCTGGAGAAGCAGCACGATTGGCTGGTGGACATGACCAACTCCAACGGCAACAACGCGCTGCACTACGCGGCGCAGAAGAACAACTCGCACGTGGTGGAGCTGCTGCTCGACAAGAAGACGTAGCTGGCCTACAGCCGCAACAAGGATGGGCAATCCCCGCTGCACGTCGCCGCTCAGTACGGCTCGACGGACGCTGTCAAGGCGCTGCTCCGGCACTGCTCCGATGTGGCCGAGATGGTGGACATCAACGGCCGCAACGCCTTCCACGCCTCCGTCATCAGCGGCAAGGCGAACGCGCTCAGGTGTCTGCTCCGCCGCGTCCGTCCCTCGGAGCTGCTCAACTGCGCCGACAAAAACGGCCACACGCCACTGCACCTCGCCGCCAAGATAAACCACGTTGAGTGCGGGCAGCTGCTTCTCAACGACCGCCGCGTCGACCCCTGCGTCCGCGACGGAGACGGCCTGACGGCGCGCTGCCTCGTGGAGAAACGGATGCGCACCGGCGTGACGGATACCTACCAGATGCACTTCTGGAATCAGCTCAAGCAGGAGTCCAAGACGGGCAAGGGGCAGTTATTGCCGCCCTCTAGCATCCGAAGCAAACGCAGGCCCCTCGACGACAAAGACTTCGACAAGGTCGTCGATGCCTACTTCCTCGCCGCCACCCTCATCGCCACCGTCACCTTCGCTTCCACCTTCACCATGCCCGGCGGCTACGACCAGGCCAAGGGCATCGCCCTTCACGGTCACAACAGCGCGTTCAAGATTTTCGTAGTCTCGAATAGCGTCGCCATGTGCAGCTCCATCGTCGTCATATTCTTGCTCATCTGGGCAAGGCAGGAGACCGCGATTCTGAGGCTCCACTACCTCGTGTGGAGCCAAAAGCTGACCATCGTCGCCTGCCTCGCTATGCTCCTCTCGCTCATGACCGCCGTCTATATCACCGTGGCGCCGAGACAGCGCCGTGGCCTGCCTATGCTGTCATAGCCATCGGCATTTGCATCCCAGGCCTCTTCTTCGTCATATCATGGATGGGGAAGGCGATGATGATCAATGTCCGGTAGAACCTAGTCATCAACATATATATGTGCTAGCACCATGCGCGACTATATATGAATTCAATCAAAACGAATGTAACTTATTCTAACAAGCATTTATGAATTTTTTATTGCATTGTCCTCTCTTGTCATTCGAAGAATATGAGAATCATGTATGGCTTACCTCCTTCAATATTTTTAAAACTCTTATTTGTTTGAGTAAATTTCACTGGCGGTCCTTAAACATGTCCCGAATTTTTATTGGTGTCCCAGTACTTGCAAATTGCAAACTCAACTTCCTCAAGTTGCATTATTGTACCATTCTGGTTCATCTACCCGGCACCTCACCGTCCTCGCCCTCACCACATTGCATATGCCTACCTCACTCATGCCCGTGCGATAGCTACGGAGGAAACTTTATACGAGGCTCTTAAGCTCATCCGGATGGAGGAAAGCGCAGATCAACTCTAGTGGATTGGAGGCTCGTGGAGTGCCTGCATTGTGATCGGCTGGCTCATAGTCTAGTGCTCACGTCGGAGCCTACCTCGCGAGGTAGTTGAGGTAGCGGTGGAGCGATGATCCTTGAACTCACGATGATGTGGAATAACTGATCAATAAGTCACCGAACCATGAGATATATCGTGTGTCATCCCCCTTGTTGTTTTGCCCACTCTCTACTTGTGCATTTACATTATGTTGTTCTTTTCAATAGAGTAGAGTTCCTAGCTTGTTCACTAGTATGCTTATCTTGAGTAGTTGATCTTTGCTAGTGTTGTTGTTGTTGTTGTTCAATTCTAGTTGTTCTGCCTTCTTGTTTGAGCATTACTAGAATTGTGTGGGCGTGCTCCTAGATTGCTTGTCACCCTTAGTAGCTTTATCTTTCATCTCTTCTTAGGGTGCAAGTGATCTTGTGCTTTGGGGTGAAGTCATGCCTAGATTGTTAGTCTTATTTCCGCATTCTTATTTAGCTAGGCTTCATAATTAGTTTTAAAAATGATTATTCAACCCCCCCCCCTCACTAGTCATCCTCCTCATCCATCGGTGGGGAACCATTGCGAGGAGATAGCGAGAACGAGAATGAGCATGAGATCCTGCGTCATAGGGGAGTTGAAGGAGTGTGGTGGTGAGAATGGCAGTGTGTCGGTGTAACTGCCGCAAGGCTGGGGGACAACAACGTGGAAGCGAGGAGGGCCATGGTGGTGGCTCGTACCATCGTACGGGACTTGCGTAGGGAAAGCACGACACAGATAGCCAAGCGGCGTGGCAGGTCCTAGAAAGCTAGGTTTCACTACCAAAATGGTGGAATTCTTCTAGTGTTTTAAAATAGTAATAAAACACTACCACTAGTCATGTAAATGGGAATTCTCACTATGAGACATTTAGTAGGGAAAGTTTATACTAAAAATTGAATGGTAAAACACTAAGAGAAACCCACCACAGTAGGAGAAGTTCAAAATTCTAGTTGTGTTTGCACATCTCGTTGATCCCTTGTTACATGTCCCAATCCCGGTGTGCTACACCCTATTGGATGGATGAATGCGGTTCAGCGTGATGCGGCCACACGGGTGCAATGGACATGTGAAACATAGTGTGGGGGTGCATGGGGTGCATGGGAGAGGAGGTGGACCAGGATGGTATAGTAGTACAAGTTTAGGGAGTTGGCAGTGTATTTGTAAGTACTGGGATTGAGATGAGAACTTGGGACAAGTTTAAGGAGCTAAATGTGCATGCTTAGGGAGCCATGTGTGCAAATTGCAAGTACCAGGACCGGAAGGAGAACTCGGGACAAGGTTAGAGATCCAAATGTGCAATTTTGTAAGTATAGTACCTAGATGAAAACTCAGGAGAAGTTCAAGAACCGCTAGTGAAATTTACTCTATTTATTTTAGTGGAATAGCCATTGTGATCATCAAATATTGTCTGAGGTTCATTTTTGTCTTTAAACTTTTCAAAATTTATTTTTTGGCTCAGTTTTATACCAGGACTAGCAAAGTCAACCTTTTGCGATTTTTGTCTCAATTACATCCATGAACTAATAAAGCGCATTTCAGTCCTCAAACTTTTCAATTTTGTTGCTTGTCCTATTTGCAACACGGCACTGTCTGTCTATCTCGCATGATTAACTCTAGTATTGCACGCGATTGATACTAATGTTTAGATAAAAATAGCATTTGTGGATAGTCAAAAAAATCTTTAGCGACCGTTAATAATTCTAATTAGTTATTTTAAATATTACCTTGTAGTGGTACCGTTCATATATACATAACTATATTGCTTTTATTTTTATGATATATAAGTGTAAATTTTATTTTAGCAAAGATCATCTACTTTAGCCGCCTGCTCGAACAGGGCATGAACCTAAGCCCATCTGACTTTCAGCCACGGCCCAGCATTCGTGCGTTGTGGTCGTGCTGTACACGAATTCTTCCTTTCCATTCATGAATTCAAAGACCTTTCCATTTCTCAAAAAGAAATGAATTCTCCTTTCCGGTGTCCGCCACGTGAAACGGCCACGTATAGGAAATAGCCGTGTCAGACGGAACATTCTAGAAGGTCAAGGAATGTGCCAAAGCCCAAAGCGCCCGCCCACGAGCTCATCCACCCCGTACGGCGTACGCGTCCCCAGCTGCGCCACTCCACTGCGCTGCTGCTGCTGCTGCTGCTGCTGCGTGCTCTCCCACCACAAAAATTTTTGTTCCCACCACACGAGCACTCACATCCGGAAAAGGAAAAAAATCTCGCCTTTTTCTCTTCTGCTGCTTCAAGAACGCCATGGAAACCTCACGCGCTCGCTGTGATTCCTGCTGCGAGTTCCCAACCGAAGGTTAGGCCCAGCAGCCATTCCTTTCGTTTGCTCTTCCCCTCCGTGCGCCGCACCGCACGTCCTTTCCGAAGCAGAGACGTGCCCGTCCGTCCCCCGTGGCCATGGCCGCGCCCTCGTCTTGCTGCGCCGCGACCGCGTCCACCAGCGCTCCGCTTCGCCCCGCGAGCGTTAAGCGCGCGCCGTGGGTACCCGGTGCCAGCCGGAGTAGCTGCAGGCGGCGGCGGCGGGAGCGGGAGCTGTCCGTCCGCGCCACGGCCGCCGCGCCGCCGCCCGTGGACTACACGGACGCCGGCGCCGGCGCCGACTACGTGGCCTCGCTCAAGATCAAGCTCCTGGTCAGTGATTAGCCAGCTACTTAAGATTAGCGTTTCTTTTTCTTGGCCGGTTTGTGAATGGATTGCTCGTGTTCTGCTTGGGTGATGATTTGCGGCGCAGAGCGCGGTGTCCGGGCTGAACCGCGGGCTGGCGGCGAGCCAGGAGGACCTGGACCGCGCGGACGCGGCGGCGCGGGAGCTCGAGTCCGCGGCGGTGGGCGGTCCCGTCGACCTCAACAGGGACCTCGACAAGCTGCAGGGCCGGTGGCGGCTGCTGTACAGCAGCGCGTTCTCGTCGCGGACGCTCGGCGGCAGCCGGCCCGGCCCGCCCACGGGCCGCCTCCTCCCCATCACGCTCGGCCAGGTGTTCCAGCGGATCGACGTGGTGAGCCGCGACTTCGACAACATCGTGGAGCTGGAGCTCGGCGCGCCATGGCCGCTGCCGCCGCTCGAGGCCACGGCCACGCTGGCGCACAAGTTCGAGATCATCGGTGCGTCAGTCAGTCACCATCATCAATCCCGCCCCTCCTCTGCTCTGCTCTGCTCTCTCTCTGCCTGAACTCTGACGATGGCGGCCATTGATTGCCGCGTGCGCGTACGTGCAGGGACCTCGGGAGTGAAGATCACGTTCGAGAAGACGACGGTGAAGACGAAGGGCAACCTGTCGCAGCTGCCGCCGCTGGAGGTGCCCCGCATCCCGGACAACCTCCGGCCGCCGTCGTCCAACACCGGGAGCGGCGAGTTCGAGGTGACCTACCTCGACGACGACACGCGCGTCACCCGCGGGGACAGGGGGGAGTTCAGGGTGTTCGTCATCGCGTGACACCTGTCCTGACCTGACCTCCGGATCTGCCGTCACCCGCGGGGACAGGGGGGAGCTCAGATTGCCGTCCTCCTTTCTTCCTGCCTGTTGCTCCTCCGGTCGATTTTGGTTTCTTCGTCGTCTGACCATGTTGTACCATTCTGTTTTATCGTGAACTGAATCTGCGATTAACTGATTTATAATGCAAAATTAGTAGATTTGGATATGTAGAGTGAGGTAAAGAAGTGCTTCTTTCAACGCCAAACTGGAAATTCGTAGGATTGTTCAGAAGTTTTATTAAGTTAAAAAAAATGTTAATACAAACAAAAAGGGGCATTCCAAGAATCGAACTCAGGACCTCTCGCACCCAAAGCAAATATCATACCGCTAGACCAATGCCCTGATGTGACTAAATTCTTTTATATGGTTATTTATCCGTATAATACCTGCCTCACAAAATGTCTGATTACCTTTCCGAAATTTTAATTAAAATGTTAATAATTAAAAAAATGGGCCATTCCGAGAATCAAACTCGGGACCTCTCACACCCGAAGCGAGAATCTTACCACTAGAACAAATACCCTTTTTTATTGTGACATCTTTATTGTTATTTATATATTATAAACGTTTATGCCTGCAATTGCATGATTATATCGTTTAAAATTTCTGTTTTTATTAATTAAAAATATATATTAACCAAAAAAGGGGCATTCTGAGAATTGAACTCTGACCTCTTGACCCAAACCAAGAATCCTACCACTAGACCAAATGCCCTTTTGTTCAATATTTTATTATTATTCTATAAAGATACTTGCCGCGCAAATTGCACCTTTACAAAATGAGAAATGCAAGTATGTAATGGAGGTGATTTATACGAGTCTAAGTTTTGACCTCAAGTCTAATACTTCCTCCATCCCAAATTATAAGTCATTTTAACTTTTTTTTAGAGTCAAAGCATCTTAAGTTTGATTAAAATTATAAAGATTTATGACATCAAATAGGTACTATAA